TATAAATGTGTATTTTTCTGTATATTTCCTTACTTTCTCTGCTTTTTGACTCAAATCAATTCTTCAGTTGCTTCTACTTCAAACTGTTGTATTGTGTCTGCAATTAAAACAAGGGATGTGCCTCTAGCCTTAGAAAAATCTGTATTTGTTAGCTCTTTTTGAAATTTGTAGCTTCTGCATTACTTCTTCAAAGTTTCTTTTCTCAGTTTTCTCCTGCATACCCTTCTGCTCAATCATCACTGCTTTAGGGGAGAATTCCATTGATCTGGGATCTAGGATTTCACAGTTTCCTATTTTCACTGGGTAATGCATGGCGTAATTGTTTCTCATTCTGTATGTTTTAGGATGATTTCCAAGAATAAAAAGGGGAAATGTTGACTCTACACCACAGCTTTTAAATGGAAAGTCCTTAAATTTCTCACAGTCTCTTTCTCGGTAGCATATTCAAATATAATGAGCTTGTTTTGGTTGAAATAGAAAAAAAAGTTATGACTAAAAAATTCTGAATAAAATCACAATAAAATGCATATAAAGTGACACAATTGTATGTTAATGTCCTCTCCCAAGACAGAAGAGCACTAAAAATTGGAGGTAAAAGTTTGGATGATTCTTCTCACCCCCATCATTGTTATTTCCTCAGAAGAACTCAAGTTGTTTCGGCCACTTAAATTATGATGTTACTATTATTTAACAAAGATTTTTGTTCTTTTAGTTGTTTTGTTTTATGGCCAGTACCTTTGGGTGGTTATGAAAGTGGTATTCGGCTATATTTTCAAATTATATTCCCTTTCATAGTTGAGAAGAGAAGAACATATATTTTATAGAAAGTAGTATTATTTTGAAGGGGTTGCCGTGATCAGAATGGACTCAAGGGCAACTAACTAACTAACAACAACAACAACAACAGCAACAGTTATCTCTAAAAAAATCTTCCCACATTCAGACTGTGGACTCTGACTTAGAATAACTTAGATGTACCAAGTGGAAAATATTACAATATTGTGTGGGAAAAGGTGTTCAGAGTTGATAAATTTGCCTGAGCTATAAGAATACAACCAGAATGTAGATGTATAAGCAATTTCCAAACCATACATAAAATAATTTTTATGTATGGATTGGGTCTCTTAACAAAAGTGATACT